ACTTTAATGGACAATTTTCATATAAAATAAAGCCAAACGAATAGAAAATTTAAAAATTTTCCGGGTGGAAAATTATACCAATCAAACACACTTGAAATCATTTTCCCTGCAAAACATTTTCTATGCAAATCTTTTCCCTGTAAAACATTTTCTTTCTACCCATTTTCCACCCTTACAATGAAACGCACCTTTAGAGATATAAAGTTTTTTGCTAAAGAGAGAAAAAAATCGTAGGCACGTATAGGGAGTGAAATTATTTCCATGGTGAGCCGCCCACAGCAGGAAGAGAGAGAGAGTTGATACAAGAGAAACTGTGTGCGGTGTAGGAATAGACTTCGTAATTTTGTACAGGAAAAGTAGTGAGGGTGAAGAAAATTTTTTGAATCATTTTTTTCGAGTAATAAAATCAACTTTTCTTGTGATTTTCAATGGTTTGTTGAACCACATTTATTTATTTATTTATTGTACTCGTTTTTGTGTTCATTGTTTTTGCAATAAAGCCGAATGTATGACTCTGTTTCACAGTTTTTTCACAGCCCCTCACATGGGGATGGGATCCACAATCGCAGCCCATTCCCATGTGAGGGGCTATGAAAAAAAATTGTCAACCAATGCTATAACTCTAGCATGGTTCTTGTTTTTGCTGCGTTTAGTGGGATTAATTTTTCACAACATATTTCATTATTGCCAAACTAATGTTTCCACAATCAGTTTAGTTTTTAACTGAAAATGTCAGTAGTAGTCATAAGGAAAATTCCAATGCATGTATATTACGCCCCATTTTTGGTGTACCTTAAAAAATAAATAAAAAATTAAGTTATAATTAATAATTAATTTTAATCACACACTTTATGAGATTCATAACTTTTATCAATATTTCAACTACACAATTCATCAACTTTTATCAAAATTTACTAAAAATCTAATTTCAATGCTTACCAAACAAGGGCAATATCGAGATTCATCAAACCAAGTTGAATCTCAATACCTTCTTTCCATCTCTTAAAAATTCATCAACTTTTATCAAAATCCATTAAAAAAACATATATATAGACTTGCAACAAAGTTTAGCCTTTATCTTCTCTCTAATGGACAAGCTTATGAGACATGTCGAAGTTGAGTTGTTTGCACTGGTGGATCCAACACCTGGTGAGCATCGACGGCCGACCGTGCTAGATTCATCGGAATTTTTTTCCCCCTTATTTTGGGTTGCCATTCTAAGAGCCCGTGCTCAATATTCATCCTGGATCCGCTATTGGGTCTTTGGGATTGTGTCATTTGTTCGTGACATAGTTATTCATTGTGGGACGATCGCTATAAAAAGTTGAAGAGGCTAGTTCTTTTTAGAACAATTGATACTAGACTTGTTAATGGCGGGGTATTAAAGAACAAGATATCCATAAAGATGAACGCATATAGCCATATAGGAAATGAGAGAGATTAAAAATTAAAGAAAATATAATTTAGGGCTCAAGTAAGACATTTATTTGGGTAAATCTGAAGAGTGAATCAATCACATTACTGTTGAGGAAGTATTGCTCATAAGTGAAGATATAAATTCTTCGATGTTTTTGTCAGAACTCCCTCCCTCATCGATTGCCTCTCTAGCAATTTCTTTCCATTTTATCACATTTGTTCTGATCTCTTCCCCCTCCTCTCCCTCCATGATATGCTTTATGCAACGAACGATTTCTGCTTGTTCGACTAATCCTTTCTCGTCTATCCTGGCCTTGATTCCCATTTTCCAAACATCCTTAATAAATTTCGCATTTGTGCTCTGGTCAGTCCACTGAGGCATTGCCACCATTGGAACTCCCAAACTCAATGCCTCCAAAGTTGAATTCCAACCACAATGTGTGATGAAGCACCCTGTCGCCTTGTGTGCCAATACTTCTAACTGCGGGCACCATGACACAATTAGTCCTTTCTTTGCCGTCTCCTCCGAAAAGTTTTCAGGAAGCTTAGATTCTTCTGATGACCTAACTACCCACAAGAAGTACTCATTGCACATTTTTAAGCCTTGCGCTAATTCTTCCATTTGCTCGGCTCCTAATTGAGCCAAACTTCCGAAGGATACATAAACAACCGATCTCCTTGCTCGTTCATTTAGCCATTTTATGCACACATCACTGATAGGCTTGAACATGCTAAAACCATATTCTTTGTCATCCATCAGCCTCTGGTCTATATACATTGAAGGTATCATCGGGCCGATTGCCTTCACTGGCAAAAACTTTGTCATCGAATTAATCACCTAGCATAAAACGATTGAAGCAGTTAGATACAAAGATTGAATAAATAAATGTGTCACTAGATGAAATGGTAATAGAAAGCACCTCTTCTTCCAACTTGTGAAAAGTGTTCACAAAAATCCAGTTTGCTTTCTCCAGATTCTGAAACTGATACAAAACCATTTCAAAAGATTCAGGATGTGATCCATGGACAGAAATAAAAGAAGGCATATCTGAAGATTCCAATAGTGGTAATCCAGGAATCACAATTTTCTGAGTCTCTAAAAGAGGAAGTTTCAACTCCTCCTTGTATACATGGTAATAAATATTGCCCACAGCACAAGATTGAGTGAATAATGGAGCAGAAACTAATCCAAATTTCTGGGTTACATCAAGAACCCATGACAGAAATGGATCATAAATTATACAATCTACAGCAAAATCTGTTTTGTGCTTCTCCACAAGTTCTGATAAAGTTTCTGTTCCAATAAGTCGAAAGTGTTTCCGGTACGCTGCTAAACTCTCAGCCTGAGCCCTCCCTCCTTCATCAAATCCATCAGAGATCGTTTCCAGGGAAATGGGGGAACTTGAAAATTCTTGTATTGTTTTGTGCAAGAATTTTGTTAAGACTAAAGTGATTTTTACGCCTTTCTGGCTTAAACGTTTGGCGAATTGGAGCATAGGGTTTATGTGACCTTGGCTTGGATACGGCAAGATTAGACAGTGAGCTATGTAATCTTCTTTTCCTTTCTCCATTTTTTGCCCAAACCTCAATAGAATATTGGAAAACCTACCCAAATATTTATAGGGGCAATGCCATGTTCTCTATGTAAATATATAGTTGTGTGTACCCCAACTACTGCTGCTGGAAGCAGTCCTCTCTAAATTTCCTTATTCATTCGCAACAAGGGTCATATCGTTAGAAGAGGTGCGCACGTGGTGATAAGTCCACAACTTTTCTTAGCCGGCAGCTCGAGTTTGCAGTGGAAGAACCAGTGCAGGAAGTGCTCCATGATTCAAGTAAATTGATTTCAGCAGTTGTTCGAGCATGAGGTGTCTAGTAAATTGAAGATAAGTGTCCCATCCAAATCGAAAGGAAAGGACTCGGTAATGAGCCCAATTGAGAATGACATGGACGGTATGGGTTCAACAACGTATGGTAAAAATTAAGAAGCACATCCCCATTCCGCTTTTAGTATATTGAGTATCGAGGCACTATGAGCAACAAATTCGAGTTACAAGTTTAGAACAGAGACAACGTTCCTATCTGAGAGAATATTATTTCGGGGATGCTTTTGAGTATATCAATAGTTTTGGAAGTTGGCGGACCGCGAACGCCCTCTTAAATTGCACTTTATTTGTTTTTGACATTAATAAACATACCCCCAGGCCCCAACCACTGGTTGAGTTTTAGTTGATTGATTAGGTTTTCCACTCCCTCTTTTTTATTTACTTTTTTTCCTTCTCTCATTCATGAACCAATCCATGTTTTGGATTAGGACCCACATTTAACTTTTTGGAAAGAAGACTGTCTGAATTTCTTAACTAAAGACAAGTGACGTGACAAAATCAATGACGTTGTCTGGTAAAAGAAAGTGTCTGCTTTGTATAGATGGAATGAATGAAATAATTGTTGGCATTGAAAATAAGCCCCCGTTCGATGGTGATTATAAAATGAAATCGAGAAAAATAATTTTTTTGAAAAATGTATATAAAAATATTGGAGGTTCTTTGTCATTCTCATTAATTCAACCGAAATTTATAAAAGTACTTCAGCACAATTGGAACAAAATAATTGGGGTTCGGCGTGGGTTTGGATTGGACTCAAAACCAATCCAACCCAACACAACATGTTCGGTTTGACAATAATTCAAATCGAAATCAACTCATTCACGGTTGAAACCCAACCCAATCCAAATCGACTAAACTCGGGTTGGTTTGAGTTGAGTTGATTGGTTTGGACTTAAGTCCCATTCAAGTTGGACTCATTTATTCTTTTGTTGGACAATTTTTTTATGAGTCCAATGGTTGAGAGTTTTTTCGTTGAATTTGAACAATTTTTTTAAGAGGAAATTACACCCAAAGTGGTATTTAAGATACCAATTTCACAAAACAGGTCACTAATTTAACTTTTCCAAAATCAGGTTTTTCTTTTTAATTAAATATTAATTATATTATTTTCATCATAATTAAAATAACCCTAATCAAACCTAAAATTCATTTTTCTCATCCCGTTTTCTCTCTTCTCGCCGCCACCGCCACCACCGTTCTTCTCCTCACCGTTTCTCACTACTTCTCCACAGGGATTATATTTTTCTATAGTAAATCAATTCTCATTTTCAACCACACATTTTTCAATAAAATAATATTTTCCATCACATCAATAATTTTTTCTTCTTTTTCAACCACACATTTCCCATCATATCACTATTTAAAATCAATTTTTCCCCCAAAAATCTCTCCCAAACAAGCTCTTACTTTTTTTCCTTCTCTCGTTCATGAACCAATCCATGTTTTGGATTAGGACCCACATTTGACTTTTTGGAAAGAAGACTGTCTGAATTTCTTAACTAAAGACAAGTGACGTGACAAAATCAATGACGTTGGCTGGTAAAAGAAAGTGTCTGCTTTGTATAAATGGAATGAATGAAATAATTGTTGGCATTGAAAATAAGCCCCCGTTTGATGGTGATTATAAAATGAAATCGAGAAAAATAATTTTTTTGAAAAATGTATATAAAAATATTGGAGGTTCTTGTCATTCTCATTAATTCAACCGAAATTTATAAAAGTACCTCAGCACAATTGGAACAAAATAATTGGGGTTCGGCGTGGGTTTGGGTTGGACTCAAAACCAATCCAACCCAACCCAACCCAACATATTCGATTTGATAATAATTCAAATCGAAATCAACTCATTCACGGTTGAAACCCAACCCAATCCAAATCGACTAAACTCGGGTTGGTTTGAGTTGAGTTGATTGGTTTGGACTTAAGTCCCATTCAAGTTGGACTCATTTATTCTTTTGTTGGACAATTTTTTTATGAGTCCAATGGTTGAGAGTTTTTTCGTTGAATTTGAACAATTTTTTTAAAGTTTGATACCATTTCAATTTGGACCAATTTCAGTTACATTAAAAAGAGATATTTGAAAGGTTTTAAGTCGATTGAACTTTGATTAATAGTCAGTGGGGTTAAATTATATTCCAATAAAATAATATAAATTAAAAATATTGTAGAACCTGTGAAATAGATTATACTATGACCAAATTAAATACATATCAAACCAATCTAAATATATGTTGAATACATGCATATTATACATATCGAATAAAATGAATTCAACCTAAATACTAAAAATGTAAATCTCATCCTTCAATCCAAGTGTTTAATAAAAAATTACGTCAAAAATGGAGTCGAGAAGTCGAGGCACCCCGACCTAAAAATTGATTTTCTAACCCGAACTCAACCCAATTGAAACTAAAAAACCAATCCAAATCAGTTGATTTGGGTTGAGTTGATCGATTTGATTGGTTCGAATTGATTTTTGCCCAATCCTAAAAATAATGAATTATTACAAATGTTAAAAAACTAAATAATAAGAATTTTACAGCCTGTTTCAATTTTCTTGTAAGTGATTTGATCGTAACTCTATTGATCGATTCTTTTCTCTATTTGCGGAGATCAACTTCCTTTACTGGATGGCTTAACTGATTATTGTCTAATATATCCTATTGTCAACTTCAATACGGAGATCACCGTCTTCACCGTTACAATATTTCTTTTCCTTAATATTTGATACTTGCCTTTTATCATGCCCCCTCAAGCTAGCGTGTGGGAAGGAGTGAAAACCCAGCTTGCTTCGAAAAAATTGAAATGAAGACTTGCCCAAAGGCTTAGTAAAGACATTAGTTAGTTGAGATAATGAGGAAATATAACAAGTGACAATGTGTCCCATAGCAATCTTTTCGCGAACAAAATGATAATCTAGTTCAACGTGTTTGAAACGTGCATGGATCGTGGGATTTATGTTGGATAATTTCAACATATATGGGGCCACACGTTGTATATTGAAATGTGCAGTGCTATTGTTTAAAGGATATTAGTCAATTAAAGTGATCCGATGTATTGTGACTAATGGGTATTAGAATTCATGGAATTATAGTGTGAAGACCGGAGTGTTGTTTTAAATTGATGAGAAGCCAATTTGAAGCAACTAAAAGAT